GGGGGGGGGGAGTTGTTGATAATGTCGTTATATATATATATTGTGAAGCGTGCAGACAAAATTAGTTACTTCTCGTATTTTGAACCCTATGGAAATAGATACATCACGCTTATAGGTGACATTTTTCTATCTACAATTTGTAAGTGTGAAATAATAAAAGACAGGTTACAGTTAAAGGATAATAATATGGCATCAACAGAAAATCTACAAATTTGACCCTATTGCTGAATTTTGGCCAACATCTCCATTTGTGGATTGCGAGAAATAACTCATTTTGTCAGCTCGCCTCACAAATATGGTGATGGTGGTAAAGATATTTAAAATTACATTTATAGTAAAAGAGCATACGATCCAGTGGGAAGAAGGAGAGGGGGGGTTGTCACTTTCACACTTTCAAAAGCATCAAAGAAATAGGAAAAAATAAACATGATAGCAATAAATATCCCGCTAAATTGTCTCCTCTCACTCACCAGTAGTGGATGCCAAAGAGCACCACTGGCACTGTGATGGCGATCTCCAGGTACCTCCACTCCCTGATGAAGTAGGCAATTCCCGCCAACGTCATAAAGCCCAGGCTGTAAAAACTCTGGCTCACAAACCCGGCCACCACTCTGTAGCGAGGGCCAACCAGCTCTGTCGCTATCCAAAGGGGAAAATAAAATAAATCAGAACGGATTATAACGATATTTGATAAAGGACGAAGATTCAATACAAATAAATCAGCTAATTAATTGATTAATTAATAGATTATCTAATATATTATTGAATATTGATAAATGGTTAATTAATTAATTGATTAATTAGTTGGTTAGCTGATTAGTTAATTCTTTCTATCTTTCTTTCTTTCTTTCTTCCTCACTTCCTTTCTCTATTTCTTTCTTTCTCTCTTCCTTCCTTTCTTTTGCTCTTTCTTTCATTCGTTCTTGCTTGCTTACATGCCTGCCTTTCTTCTTCTTCTTCTTCTTCTTCTTCTTCTTCTTCTTCTTCTTCTTCTTCTTCTTCTTCTTCTTCTTCTTCTTCTTCTTCTTCTTCTTCT